GCTAGGCTCTTCTGGGGACTGCAGTGAGAAGCCAATGCAGGGGGCAGCTCTTCTCTCTGGAATGGCCACAGATCTGGGCAGTGGGATTTGTTCACCGCTTTATCTGCTGCCCCCTGAAGGATGAGGCTGGCCATTAGCCAGAGAGAGGCTTTGATTTAAATGGAGAAAAGGAACAGCCATTAAAAAAAAAAAAAAAAAAAAAAAAAAAAGTCTGGACAAGGTGGCTCTTGCTTATAATCCCAGCTCTTGGGAGGTGGAGATGGGTGGATCCCTGGGGCTCCCTGACCAGCTGGCCTAGCCTACTTGATGAGTTCCAGGCTAATGAGATGAAAACCAAGGTGGATGGCTTCTGAAAAACAACACCTGAGGTTGATCTCTGTCCTTTCCACACATACACAAACACAAAATGAACACAGGTGTACACAAACACACATACACATGCAGTTGTGCACACACACACAGGCACACACATACACAGGAAGAATGAGGAAGAGGGAGAGAAGGGAGAGGGAGGAAGAGAAAGAGGGGGAGGAGGGAAAGAGGGAGGGAAGGGGAGGGGGAAGAGGAGAGGAGAGGAGGGAGAAGGGAGAAGGTGAGGGAAAGGAGGGGGAGGAGGAAGAGGGGACTGAGAGAATGAGGCTGGATAAACCCACAGCAGTGCATCTGGCCCAGACTGAAACACAGGATGGTTTTTAATTCCTCACTACCATTTCATTTCCTCCTATTACACTGTAATTGAATGTAAAGGATCTGAGCGATCACAGCCATATTCTCTTCAGCAGACAAACCACACACAATATTTTCCCACCATGTAATGAAAACATTGGTATCTTTGTGCAACCGGCTTTGGACAGCCTGCCTTCCTAATGCCCATCTCTGTCTCCGTGTTTATATTCGCCAGCATTAATATTTATTAGAGACGTTAGGCTATTAGTGGGCATGGTGTGCTTGCCTGGCTTTGTAGAGCATCCAATTTGAACATACTTGCTCTGGATAAACTCTCCCTCATGCTGATAATGATAACAACTCAGTGCAGCTCTGAGTCTTATGAACTAGAACTTGAGTTGACATGAAGGGCCCTAATGCTTGGTATCCAAGGAACAGTGGAACCACTTTGCACAGAGGCTGGCTTTTCAGGCTTCCCACCCCTGACAGGAGCCTAGTTAGGCCCTCTCCTCCAAACTGAGTGCCCTGGGCTTGTAGTTCACTGGAAAAGTCAGAGGAGGTGACCTGTGACATTGCTGACTTATTTTGTATGTGTGCCTGTGTTTTTGTGTCTGTGTGTGTATGTTCATATTTCCATCTGTGTGTGCCTATATATCTGTATATAATTCTGTGTGCTTGTGTATCTCTCCAGGTAAACCCTAAATGGTCAAGTCCCTTTGGGCAGAGTGTGAGTTCTGAACTTGTTTCTATGCCCCCCCACCCCAGCTTAGGCTGGCCCTCGGTGACTAACAAACATTTAAGAAGTACTGAGAAATCTGTCTTGCTCACTTCTGCAGGGACATTGAGTGAATGATGCTGGGTCAGATTCATTTGTGAGCACTTACGACTGCCTGTTCTACAGGATATGACACCCTGGGCTGCCCTGGATTAATTAGTCATGGCTTGGGGCCAAAACCACATGAGGTTGTAATTCAGGAGCCCTGAGCCTCCTCCCACTTCCGATACCAGGTCACAGTAGCACCCCAGAATGAGCATCTTCCCCTGCTTGGAGGCCTCCCTAAGCCTCCCAAAAGGTGATACATTTGTTGCCGGCAAACTTCTTTCTAGTCTCAAACAGCTTGATTCTATTACTTTATTTTACAAATGTATGCTCTTCTTATTTGTGACATAAACCCCCACAGGGAAAAAAAACAAAAAAAAAAAACAAAAAATAAACAAAGTCAGTAATAAATTATGAAAAAAATCAGGTGCCCTGATCATTTCTACTTTCTGAGGGTGCTGGATTCAATCAATCCCAGCCCTATACAGCAACCTGCCTCTCCCGGGCAATGGAAGACTCAAAGCTGTCATTGGAGCAAACTGCACAGTCTCTCCCTGCAATTGTATTGACAGGATATCAGCCCAAGTTGCCGTGGTGGGAAGGTACTCCCTGACAGGTTTTGTGAAGGAGGCTGGAAGGCTACTGTGGCAGGATTCTATGTTGAGTCTCCGGATTCTGGGGAAATGAGAATTAAGCAGGGTGAAGTGAGGTTCTTTCTCAATTTAATTTTATGCTTCCCACAGAGTCACACGGAAAGGAAAGCTGGCTGGCTTCACATCACTTGACAATAGAGAAGCCCTTACCAATAGAAACTATTTATATTATTTTTGTGGTTGCATAAAATGCCATCTTGACTCAGATAACTGCCATTAAGCAAACAGTTTGCTTGGGTTTCAGTGAGGTGACCAGCTGGTGAGTGTGTACAGATAAAACACCTGCTTGCAAATCTCAGGTTTTCCCTTTTCCTCTGGTTGCTTTGGCATCTTGAAGACATGTTTTTGAATAACTGATGCAGATATGTCCTGGCAAATTCCATGGGTGGAAAATACCAGGGCTGCATTTTTTCTGCTGCATTTGAAGTAGGAAAAAAAAAAAAAAAAGGAGAAGAAAAGGAAAGAAACAAACAAAAGCATGCTGAACTTATCTATCCATGAGGGGAAACAATGTGAGTGACAGCCTCCCCATGTAGTGAAATAAATATTTCCAGGGTGCTGTATTCCTGTGATAGAGACACACTTCTTCAGGCTCAAGAAGAGACACAGCTAAAATACAACTCAGTTTCCATTAACCCCAAAGACATCAGAGCCAAGTGCACTCATACTATGAGGAGATATTCACCCCAACACCGGGGCCAGCAAAACTAGCAACCCACCTAAAGGAACCTACAAATCAAGCCTAGTAGAAATGATGAAACTGTATTTTTTTAATGTTCTTTTAACTACTTTTAATATTTCCATTTTCTTTAAAGTCCAAACTCCCAATGTTTCAGAATTCCAATTTTCTTTACATGGAGAAAACTGGGCTGGGACTCAGTGGCGTGGCTTTTAAGCCAGATCTGGCAAAGCCTCAAGTCAAAAGCCTTGCAGACGTCTATTTTCCCATGCCCTGATTTATAGAGAGCTTTTGCAACAGGGGGCAGCCCAGCTTCCTCTGCACAACATTGTCTCTCTGTCAACTTTTATGCAGGCTGGGTTTTGATGGAAGAGCCTACAGGAAAGGGTAAATATTGAATGTGAACATCATCATCTTAACCACTACCGGTGCTTCAAAAACCAAGGACAGAATTGTGGGGGGGGGGGGAGATTGCCCCCTGCTGTCACTTGTATGAGAGCATCCCAGGCTCTGTCACCAAAGACCACCAGGACATGGCCCCTGCAGGTGGTGATCACCAGGGACCAGGGCAGCCTGAAAACAGAACCCCATTGTGGATCAATCATCACCAGTATTTTTTTTTTTTTTTTTAATGATCATTCCTAAACTCCAGCTCCAGAAGCAAGGATGGAATTCATCCTGAAAGCTGTTAAGCTGGTGCCACCTACAGGCCAAATGCTGTCTTTGACATAGCCAGAGAGAGAAAGCAAAGGGGGAAGAGCTGGATGTTTCACATATAGTATTTACACACATTGTAGTTTACACATCTATGTACAAATGCTAAACATATAGTATACTATATATAACATGTTGTCTATACATATATTCATGTATAATTCACATGTATGCAAATATACATATACATGGGTCACTTAGAAAGAATTCACTGTGGAAGTGAATTCACCTCATATTTAAGTGGGAAGGAGCTGCACACTAGTGACAACTGATTAAAGCAATCATGGAACATCAGAGCAGCCACTGATAGGTGGTACTTGATTCTGTCCTTGGCCCACGATAATGAATCCCAACTGTCTGTCCCATGTGCCTGATAAATCAGCTCTCCAAGAAGTAAGCAAAGGATCTGTTCCACTGTGGCGGCATCTCAGAGGGACCAGTGCTAAGGATGATGCTTCACCCTAAACTGTATCTAATTGTCCTCCTGGGAACATTAATTAGGCCCAGAAAAGTCCAGGAGGGTCAATGTTTCCCCAAGAGTCAAAGAATGCAGTCAGTTCTAGCACAGTCAAGAAAAACCAGGTTTCCTTCACAAAAGAAGAAAAGACAGGAGGGAGTTGGGGGGGGGGAAGAGGGAAATAAAAGAAGAGAGAAATGAAGAAAGGGGAAAGAGGGAGGAGAGGGAAGAAAAAGAAAGGAAGAAAAAGGAAAGACAGAAGGCAAGAAGAAAAGAAGGGAGAGAGAGAGAGAGATCAAACATCACCATTCTAGGTTTTAATCAATGCCTGGAGTCAGAGAATTCGCGATTGCTAGCTGAATCCATGGTTACCATCAGCGCACCCATCACCCTCCACACCCCAACCTGGAAAATTGAGAGCATTCTTAGAAACACACTGTCCTCTAGTGGCGAAAAGTAAATTTGCTCCATGACTACCTTGACAACTACTAAACTTCGACTTGACTTTTTCTGTCTCCCGCATTTAAGAGCAGAGCCACGCCAAAGTAGACTTTTCAGCCTGGCGGGAAAACCGACTAAATTACAGAGAGCCAGTGCCGGCCAGGCTTCATAGAGAGTATTCGTACCTCTCCCCACATACACACTTAGGATTTCCACCAGAGCTCCAGAGCACCTGGTGCAGAGTAGACCAGAGGTGCTAGGTAAAGTGGATCTTGGCGGGTGGCAAGGGCACGAAAGGGTGCCTAAGACCTGTTTGTCAGTTTCTGGGTTCTTCAAGCCCCTCGGGGATTGCCCTATCCATAGTCTTTCCCAGTCTCTTCCGCTAATGTGTGCCACTTAAGGACACTGAGGTTCAGGGACTGGCCGCTACTGTTCAGGCTTGTCCCGCCTAGAGCTGGTTTCCGACCCCGCGCCTGGACCCCGGACCCTGAAGCCAGAGGTTCTCGGCAGCTGGAACCCATTGGTAGCGTCGGTGGCTGGGGAGGGGGACGAGCGCGCCCGAGCGCTCACCTTGACGATGAGCGGGTTCTGAAACATGGAGTCACGCACGACCCCCAGCCTCTGGTTCTCCATGCCCGGGCGGATGTCCGCCACCGTCAGCGGCCGTCGGGGCGGCGGGCAGATCTGGCTGACCGTTCGGCGCACAGGCTGCTTCTTCTTCTTCCATCGCGTGAAGTCTTGCCGGGACTTCCCCGGACCAGGCATCCTGGGAACCTCCGAGATCAGACCCTGGATGCAAGTCCACAGAGTTCTGCCCTGTCTGGGAACCCTCGCCCCACTCGCGCCTCACCGGGCTGCACCACACGGACACGGGGGTGTACCCCGAGGCCAGGCAAACTCGGAAGTGGAACGCGCCCACCTGAGGATCCCCCCGCCGAGCCCGTAAACACCGCCAGTTCTTCAGAATGATTTAGGCACCTTGTTGCAGACTAAGAAAGGGAAGACTATTTAGACAACCCCTTGAGTAGAAATGGAATAGCCCGTCTCCTTGGCCACGGGACGCCAACGGCTCAGGAGTTTCCGGTTCCCTAACTTGAAGGTTTTTTTTTTTGTTTGTTTGTTTGTTTGTTTGTTTGTTTGTTTGTTTGGAGTCGGCGTTTCTCTGTATTACTTTAGAGCCTGCCCTGCAACCCGCTCTGTAGATCAGGCTGATCTCAAATTCACTGAGATCTGTCTGCCTCTGCTGGGATTAAAGGTGTGCGTCATCACCGCCTTTCTTGAAATTCTTGGCAACCACAGAGATCTTTTAGAATTTTCTCAAGTCAACACAGGAAAACACAAGAATCATATCTAAGTTGTGTTAAAGGCGAAAAGATTCTAGAGGGCCATTTATCCTTAGCCTCTGCCCTCTCTCTACCCATTCTACTCTACTCAGTTCCCTCTCAAGCTTGCTCCAAGCTTCTTGCACACACACACACACACACACACACACACACACACAGAGAGAGAGAGAGAGAGAGAGAGAGAGAGAGAGAGAGAGAGAGAGAGAGAGAGAGAGAGAGACAGAGGGGGGGGAGAGCACGCTCGCACATTCCCCCGGATATCTCACCAACATGATCATGTTGAAATAAAAATAAGCATCCTAATGCTGGGCGGTGGTGGCGCTTGCATTTAATTCCAGCAGAGGCAGAGGCAGGTGGATCTCTGTGAGTTTGATGCCAGCCTGGTCTACAATAGGTAGCACCAGGACAGCTTGGGCTGCACAGAGAAACCTTGTCTCAAAAAAACAAATAAATAAATAAAAGAAATAAGCATTCTAGGCTTGATGTCAATGCTAACTCACTGGGTGGTCCCTAGTCAGTTTCCCTGTTAGATTCTTCTCCCCCCCCCCATCTTTGTGAAGTGGGTAGAAAGGAAAAAAATATGGATTAGATGAATAGTGTCTGACTCTACAACTAAGTGGAGGGAAGCTGAAAAACTCAGGTCCACAGGAATCATTGGCTTGATTTACCGAGTAAGAACATCTAAAACAGGGGGCAGGAGAGATGGCTCAGAGGTTAAGAGCACTGGTTGCTCTTTGAGAGGTCCTGAGTTCAATTCCCAGCAGCCATATGGTCGCTCACAACCATCTACAATGGGATCTGATGCCCTCTTCTAGTGTGCAGGTGTAGAGCAAGACAGAGCACTCACACATGAGTAAATCTTAGAACTTCTGAAAATGGGTCCAAAGAGACGGCTCAAGATGCCAAGCAACTAGTTTGATTCTCAGAACCCATATGGTGGAAGGTCACATATGGTGGTCTTGTCCCCTGACTTCCACACAAATACTGTGGCACACATGTACACACACACACACCAAATATTAAGTAAATAAATATAGAGCATAAAAAGACCATCTGGAAATGTCATCTGAGACCATTCTTTAAGGTCTACCAACTCAACACCATTTGTTTTGAAAATTCAAACCTACTGGAAAGTTAAAAATTGAAAAAGAAAAAAAAGCTGGAGAAATGGCTCGGCAGTTAGGAAGTCTTGCTGTTCTTGCTGAGGGCCTGCCTGGGTTTGTTTCCAAGTAATCACTTATTGACTCAAAACAGCAATTCCAGTGTCAAGGGATCTAACACCATCTTCTGTCCTCCTTGGGCATCAAGTACACACATGGCATATAAACAAGTATGAAGGAAAAAATCCATACCCATATATTTTTAATTGAAGACAATGAGTTTAATGAAAACCTGAGGACCTCACCTGGATTTACGAGCCTTTGTATCTATCACATTGTCACTCATTTGAGTAGGCTCATATGTATGCGCACAAACACAAGGCTGGGTTGCTTCAAACTATCAAACAATATTATATCCTGTATTAGTGCCTGTTCTGCTGATGTGATAAAGCACCATGACAAGGAGCAACTTAGAGAGGAAAGAGTTTGTTTATACTTATGGTTCAAAGGGATAAGGGTCCACTGTGGCAGACGTGGTTGCTGAAAGAAGTTGCTGAGATCTAACATCTGGAATCCCAATCATGCAGGAGAGAGGGGGGAGGGGGAAGAGAGGGGAGGGGGAGAGGAGTGAGAGGGGGAGGGAAAGGGAGAGGGAGAGAAGAGCACTGGGAATGGCAGGAGATTTTGAAACCCCAGAGATACCAGGCAGTGGTGCTGCACGCCTTTAATCCCAGCATCCAGGAGGCAGAGGCAGGCAGATCTCTGAGTTTGAGGGCAGCCTGGTCTATAAGAGCTACAAGCAAGCAAGAAAACAAACAAACAAACAAAACGAAACTCCCCCCAGACCTACTTCCTCCACTAAGGCCACACCTTCTAGACCTGCTCAAACAGTGCCATGAACTGGAAACAAAGTATTTAAATAGATGTAGCTATTCTGGAAACAAAGTATTTAAATAGATGTAGCTATTCTCATTCAAACCACTGCAGACCCTAAAGATGTCATCCTGTAACAACTTACTTAGAAATTTCATACATACTTTGATCCATTTGCTGAACCCCTCTTCTTGCCAACAAAACCTTTTATTTTCATGTCTTATTTTGTGCCCTCACTGAATTTAATTAGTGTTGCTTGCCTAAGCAAAGGTGAGATTTTATTGAGAATTGTTGCCTGTGACTGTACAGTAAGGCATAGACCCACACCCCCACCCATCCCACCCACCCCACCCTAACCCCCCCACAACAGCCATTAACTGTCAAGGGCACTTTCATACATGACCATCTCCTTACTATGTCTACTGATAATGAAAGGGTGTGATGGCTATTCTTGGTTGTTAACTTGACAATATCTGGAATGAACTACAATCCAGAACTTCAATCAGATTTTTGAGGCAGGAAGGCACTTCTTTAATCTGGGTCACACCTTCTGCTGGAAGCCTGTATGGAATAAGGACATGGAAGAAGCTTTTTGCCTGCTTGTCCTCGCCTTCCCAGCACATCCATTCCTTCGCTGGCATTGGAGCCTACTGCTTCAGGGTTCCAGCATCTGCAGAAGAGCAGCTGAGACACCCAGACTTGTGGGACTGAGAAACTACTAGATTCTTGGATTTTCCATTCACAACTAGCCATTGTTGGACTGCACCTCGACCTGAGAGATTTCAACCTAGAACCCAAAGACCCAAAAAGGGGGTTGGGGAGGGGGGTGACAAGAGACTCAGGGGATTAACCACAGGACAAGATTCTGATCAAGTGGAAAACTTTATTTTTCTACCCAGAGCTTATATAGTCAGCAGAGCAAGGATGTAGGAAAGGGGAGGTAAGAAGAATGGTTGAGGATCAGGTGTTCTTGCAAGCAGAATATAGAAAACTACAAAGAATGGATGTTGGCATGGGTGGAAAGATCAGTAGTTATGAGAACAAGAAAGGTTACTATGGTGATGGGGCTAGTGGTTATATGCTAGACTGATCTTGCTAAATAGGCCTAGTTACTGAATCATCAAACTTTTGTGATATAACTGAAGGCTCTAAATGTACAGCCAAGAGAAATAGCCAGAGTTCAGCCAAGGTTCATTCTATAACTGAGCGTAGATCCAGCCTCAGTTTCCAACAGTACCACAACCTGTAAGTCATTCCAATAAATTCATATGTATGTATGTTTATAGACAGGGATTCATTCCATTGCAGGGAGCAATCATGGCATAAGCCTTATAGATTGCTGGCCTTTTTTTTTTTTTAGAATAGCCCATTGAGTTAGAAGATTGCTACCTTCAGTCCCAATCAACCCCCCCAACTTCCTGACAGGTAGAGTTTGGGGCTTACAGGAATGCCGTTAGGTTACTTAGCAACCCCTCCTTATGCAGTTAGGGTATTTAGCAACTCCTGGGACCTCTTCCCCTGCTAACAACCTGCTTATCTCTACCTGTATTTCCTCTTAGCCAATATCATGCTCACCTTCAGTGACCTATAACTAAGAACATCTTGTGGTCCAGTTACTAGGCAATGACCTCCCTCCTCTGAATCTCTGCCTCACCTAGCTTCCCGCCCTAACTACTATATAACATGCTTGGGAAAAATAAAATTTTGCAGCTTTATCAGAAAGCCTGTCTTGCTGCCAGTTTCTCATGTCTCTTCATTACAGATCCTTTGGGATTCAGGCCCTTGTTGCTGCCCTGCTGGCCAGGGCATTCCATAAGTCCTGTGATTCTAGAGAACCCTGACTAATACAGAGGGCATAGCCCTGGCTAACCTGGAACTTACAATGTAGGCCAGGCTAGTCTGGAACTCAGAGAGATCTACTTTCCTTTGGTGCCTCATTGTTGGAATTAAAGGCATTTGTAATGATGTATGCCCACAGGTAATTTATAAAAAAAATTTATGTTATTTTATGTTATAATATATTATATTATATTTATGTGTATGAGTGTTTTACCTACATATGTATTTGTGCATCCTATGCATGCTTGATACCTGCAAAAGTCAGGAGAGGATGCTGGAGGCCCTAGATATCGATGGCCATGAGCTGCCATATGGGTGTTAGACTCTCTACAAGGGCAACAAGTATTCCTAACCAATGAGTCTTCTCTTCAGCTCCATGTCCATGGATTTTAATGTGGTGCATTAATGGTGTCTAATATGTATTCTATATGCAAAGTTAGGAATTCCTTTTTTTGAAAAATACTATATTTTATGTGTAATGGGCATTTTGCCTACATGAATGTCATCGCACCACATACATGCAGTACACACAGTGGACAGAAGAGGGGACCAGATACCCTGGAACTGAAGTTTTGAACAGTTGTGAGCTGTCATTGAGTGCTGAGAATCAAAAATGGGTTCTCTGGAAGAGCAGCCAATGCTCTTAACCTCTGAGCCATCTCTCCAGCTTCCTGGATGATTTGGAACCATTAACCTGAAGTCTAGGCTCACTGCCAGTATCAATCTTTTGTGAGTTCA